GCAATAATTTTCGCAGAGGGGCCACTCCACAAATTTTGGTAAGTCGTCACGGGCTGCACATTTCTACTATATAAATGGAGGGGGTGTGGGGTCTGGGAGGGAGTTTGGGTGCAGGAGCGGGTTCTGACCTGGGGCAGGGGGTTGGGGTGCAGGCGGGGGTGCAAGGTGCAGGCTCCGGCCCGGAGGTGCTTACCACAGGCAGCTCCCAGCTGGCGTCACAGCAGGGCTCAAGCAGGCTGCATTGTAGCACGTTTCTGCATGCCCCTTGGGGGAGGGGGGCAGCGGGTCTCCGTACGCTGCTCGCACCCCCAACCCCCCCCCCCCCAGCTCCCATTGGCCTGAGTGCCCCGCTGCACCGTGGGACTTTTAGCGGCCAGGAGATTGCAAGGGGGCAGCCAAAGAGCCTGGCGGGCCAGACAGAAATGTTAGGTGGGCCAGATCTGGCCCGTGAGCCATATTTTCCCCACCCCCGGTCTAGATAATACTTAGTCCTGCCATGAGTACAGGGGACTGGACTAGATGACCTCTCGAGGACCCTTCCAGTTCTATGATTCTCTGTTTCTATTTGCCCGCTGTCTGATGCCTGGTACGGCTGGCGTGCCCAGCCCAGCCGTAGTTTGGCCAGTGCTGGGAGAGCCACGCAGTGGGTGCTGCCCTGTTTGCAGTAGGGCACTCCTAGAGCACAGAGGAAGGAGGAGAGACTGGAGGTGCAGTGATTAAATACAGGCAGAAAGTCTCACTGCTCAGTGACACGGGTCCTGTCTTTTCAGGACACCCTTGGGAAACAGCCAGGGGGTGAACATCGGTAGAAAGAGCATGCCATGATGACGTGCTGGAGCCCTCCAGAGAAGAGACTCAGCAGGAAAGGCCAGAGAGCAGCCCAGAGGCCAGCTAGCAGAGGACATGAGGATGGGCGCTGAGGGACGCAGGTGCTGTTGGGCTGGGCCAAAGCCACGGGGCAATTCTGGACTGTACGAGGAGGGAACAAGTTCTGGTTAAGGGGGTGATTTTCCACAGGCTAAGAGGCAGCTCTAGGCCCTCACTCCCACGGAAAGCCGACGGGATCTAATTCCACTTTGTGCCTTTGAAAACCCCTCCTTAAACAGAAGGGACCCTCCATCACCGCGGATGAGTCTGCTCCTCTAGGCTGCTATTTGAAAGATTGTCCCAGTGGAAGGCTTTAAAAGGCATTTGTTTAGGGCAGGGTTCTCCAGAGGGCTGGAGGAGCAGCCTGCTGTGCTTTGGTGATGCCCTGAAGCGTGCAGGAATGACAAGGCCAGGCATTACTCAGACCTCTCAGAGACATACTATTAAGCTGGGCTAAATAAAGCCCTGAGTGAATCAGCGCCGGTGGGTGGAGTGAGATGAGTAAGGCCTGTTTGAGGGGCACCTCCCTCTCTAGCTAGGGGTTGTGATCCACAGGAGAGAATGAATGTGTGAAACCTGGGCTGGTTCAATGTGCTGGCCAGCGTATGAATGGCTGAGGACCTGCAGGGACCCCAGGATTGCGAGGAGGACATCCATATCTGCCATCAGCGCCCTGTGCTCTTGTGGGTCGGGATTTCCTTGCTCTGTGTATTGCCAAGCAGCCTTGTCGGAAGATTATTTCCACCCGTTAGGTCTCTGGTCCCCTAATGACTGGGGACTCTGCCCAGTCCAGAGATGGGCCTGAATCGCCCCTAGACCTTGGGGTATTCAGGGCATGGGTCCCTTGCAGCTCGCCGCCGTTTCCAAGTGCCACACCAGTGGAATCGAAGAGTGAGCCTGTGCCCCTGGTGTAAGCTAACCCTGCTCCTTGCTGCAGCCGTGCTGGCGGTGGGGAATCGGAGACAAAGCAGGATGCGTGGGTGCTGCCGGCTCCCCCCTCTCCCAGCTCTGGGAACACACTATGGTCCCAACAGCCTTTTGGATGAACTGGGCCAAATCCATCGCTGGGGTAGTTCTTGAGTCAGTGGCGTTTCACTCGTGTCAAATGTGACTCGGTGTTCCTTTGTGTGTGCAACTGTGACAGCCAAGCTGTCGGCCCCCAGAGCCTCTGTCCCAACCTGAACCCTGCTCTGTCATCTGTGACTGGGGTGCTCAGCTCCTCATGTGCATGGCCGTGGGGACCTGACAGTCACTGAGCCCTGGTCAGGGGCAAAGGAGTCTTCCTAAAAGTGGGGGGGCATGAAGCCCCACCCCCTCCATGGCCCCACCTCTTCTCCCCAAGGCCATGATCCCTGGCCAAGCTGGAAGGCGGAGTCTGGTCAGGGAGCCATGGACCCTTCACCTGGCTGGGGTGGGGGGCCCCAAGAGCAGCCCCTGATCCATGTCCCCGTCCCTCGGACTCCCCAACCAAGGCAGGTGGAGGGTCTGCAGCTCCCCACAGCTGCCCAGGCTCCCTGGGCTGTTCTTACTTGGGCCAGACTCCAGCTTCCGGCCTGGCCGGGGGCGGGGCCTCAGGGGGAAGAGGAGGGACAGGAGGCCGGGCAAAAAGTGGACGTGCCAGGCCCCTTGGACCCACATGTTCCAGCACCCCATAAAAGGTACTTAGGCTCCTAACTCTCCTTGACTTCACTGGAAGCTGGGAGCCTAAATACCTTTGAAGATCTGAGAAAGACAAGGTGGGGAGGTGATATTTTTTATTGGATCAACTTCTGTTGGTGGGAGGCACAAGCTTCCAAGCTACACAGAACCGAGGACTGCCAAAGCTTGTCCCTTCCACCAACAGAAGTTGGTCCAATAAAGCAAATTACCTCTCCTCCCTTGTCTCTCTCATGTCCTGGAACCAACACAGCTACCAGAACACTGCAAACCACAATGTGAAGGTCTGGGCCTAAGTCCCCATCTCTTTGCTCTTTCTCCTTGAAGCACAGAGCCCCCTACTTGCCTCCCAGGATCAGTATTAACAATCACAGCTGACGTCTCGTTGCATTTACTCCAGACATTTTATTTCAGCTAGAGAGAGGAGAAACAGGCACAAGCCAAGAAATAAAGGAAAGAACCTACCTGAGTCATGTCTGGGCCAAGACTGCACCAAGCCTTGCTACAGTCAGCTACTGATGGTCAGATTTAGATTTGGGATTTTAAGGCTAACAGGACCCATTAGATCATCTAGTCTGACCACTTGCCTTGAGCCTAATAACTTGTGTTTGTCTAACGCATCCTCCAGAGAGGCGGCCAGGTTAGATTTAAAGACTTGCAGAAATGGAGAATTCACCACTGCTCTTGGGAGCTTGTTCCAATGGTCAACCGCCCACACTTGTTAAAAATCTTCGCCTTATTGCTCATTTGGATTTGTCTGGCTTTAACTTTGAGCTGCTGGTTCTGGTTCTGCCTTTCGGCACTAGATTAAAAAGCACGTTGGTACTTGGGATTTTCTCCACATAAAGGTTACTTAGACATCTCAAGCAAGTCGCCTTTTGATCTTCTTTTTGCACTGCACAGCTTGAGCTCTTTAAGTCTCTCACCATGTGGAATTTTTTCTAGCCCTCGAATCATTTTTGTGGCCCTTTTTTATTCTTTATTGAGCTGGTGCTGGGCTAGAACCGCACCAGCCACATCAGAGGCCGTGTCTGCTCCTCCCCCTCTCTGCTCCCTCTCTCCCCCAGTTCGTAGCAGGATGTTCAGGAAAGAGCTGGGCTCCACGCCCGGGTGTCCGCCCCTTTCCAGGAAGAGACCAGCACTTAGTGAAGCACAGCTCTTTGTTGGTTCCATAGACCCCCCCCCCCAGCCTCGCCCCATGACATCACTCCATGAGGGCACACATCCAGGTGTAACACCGACAGGCCCTGGTCGTCGTCAGGTGGGATCGAACCTGGGACCTCTGGAGTTTAGTGCATGAGCCTCTACTGCATAAGCTGAAAGCCATATGGGTGTTAGCTAAGGCTGTAGAGCAGACTCATGAATCTCTCTAAGTCGTCTCGGTGCCACTAGGTGGGACAGAAACCACACCCAGGAGGTGTGTGGGTTACACGGGTGTCTGGGGATTTGTTCCTTCTTTCCCCAGCCCCTGGGGACACATCCGCACTGGGTATGTTCATTCTCCACTCTTGGAAGCTCTTAGTGTGGAAAGGGAGCAGAAGCTTTTGTCGTGTGCAGTGATGGGGGATTATGGGGGTGTTTCCCAGTGTGGATGCCCCATAGGGTACTACTACTCCCCTTTCTTCCACCAGCAGAGGCTGTGCTGCCCTCCAGCCTCCTCTCCACCGACGAAGAGCAAGCCCGTTACGTCCATCAGTTGGTCAGCCACGCAGCGAGGCAGCCCCCTTTCTCTCCATGAACCCCAGGGCTGAGATACTCCCTAGCTTGTGCAGCCAGCACCTCCCTCTCCATGAATTCCAAGCCCTTCATCTTGCCGGCTGAGAATGATATGCTGGAGGGTAGGCAGCCAACACCTCCCAGCCAGCCCCAACCTGTCACCGGACACCCAGAGGGTCCAACCCTCCTTCCCACCCGCCCAGGAGCAGCTACAGAGCAGTTTCCTCTTTAGCACACGAGGCCGAGGATTGCAAAAGCCGCGCGGAATCAGCCATGGATGGAAGGAACGGCAGGTGGCCCTTGCTCCCTGTACCACTTCCCTGACTGGAGACAGATACCATCGCCCACCAGGTCTGTACCAGTGCATGCGGAAGATGGTGGCGTTTCTGCCAGTGAGGAAGGGCGTGTGCAGGACAGGGGGTGGAGAAGGGGGGAGCGGCTGCACAATGCCGACCCCTTTGTTCTGGTACCCCAGACCCGATCTGGGAACACTGACTCCAGTGGGGGGCACCGCTCAGCAATGCAGCAGCCACCAGGACACAGGTGTGAGATGGTGGCACAGCACTCAGGTCGGGGCCTGATCCTGCAGTCCCCAAGCAGACACAGCTCTTAGTGGAGTCACGGGGAACTTTGCTAAGGACTGCAGGATGGGGCCTTGGCTGTGTGATACGCCATGGTCTCAGAGGGTGGCCATCTCCTCCCCTCAGCCTACAGGTAGGAAGAAGCCAGCGCAGCCCGAGTGACAGCTCTGCAGACTAACCTCCTTTCAACGCGTTTATTTGGATGCAGAAGCCAAGTGTTCCTGCTGCGTATGAGACGGGAGGCTCAGGGGGATGCTACTTGCACGGTAAACAGGAGCCTGTCAAAGGAGAACCTGTTTGCAGAGCCTGGTGCTTCCCGGCACGTGGACGGAGAGGAGCCAATGTGCAGCTGGGAGCGGGCTGGGCTTCCTTCCTCTCTCTCACTTTGCGGGCTTGTTGGCCGGTTCCCTCACTAGGTTTAGCAGCTTGTCCAGCTTCGCGATCTCCACCTCAGGGCCCTTCTGAATCTCTTGGCCTTTCTTTTCCTAGAGAGAAAACAACAAGTCCCAGCTGTTAGTGGAAAGGACCCCACCGACTCACCCGGAGCAGGCTGGCCAGCGGGGCCAGTGAGGGAGCAGGGCCTCTTGGCCTTGCTGAGCCAGGAAGTTGATCCCAGAGAATGCGACAGCGGGAAGTCCATTGAGGCTGATCCCCCCGCCTTCATCCCCCACATCAAGCCCAAACAGCCAGGCTTTGGGTGGGTGGGGCCCTGCAGAGCTAAGTGGGGGTGCTGAATCAGGCTATGCAGTAGGGTTATTGCATTCTCACCCACTGCTTAGTTAGTGCGTGGGGAGTAAGCCAAGGACAGTAAATCCAGTGGCCCCAACCTGCCTCTCCTGGGGCCCTGCCACCAAATCCATCTCCGTGGCTGCATACTGTGACATGGGCGACAAATGCTGTCTGCACAGCCCATCTCCCTGGTGCTCTCCGTCCAGGGATGCGAAGGGTGCATCCGGCAGGCAGAAGCGGTCAATGGCTGGCTATTCCTATGGCACATTCCACCCCAACGGCTCCAAGAGCCACCTTCCAAAACTACACCCAGGGACTCGCTTCCCCAGCTGGGACGTGCAGCTCACCTGAGTGCCGCACAACAGTTTAGGGAAGGAAGTCAAAAAATAGCGCATCAAACTGGCAATGGGGGAAGGGGGATAGGTGGGGTCAGGTTGGGGAAGGGGGCATTGTTCAACCAAGTGCGAGCACCTGGGCTGGGATCATGGCTAACGTTTTGCAGCCACACAGACCCCTTGTTTCCTTTGCCCATTCCCACCTACGTGCCTCCTTCCACACCACCTACTAGTGTAGGTAAGGAATACCTTCCCAGTCGCCTTCCTCATTCAAAACCCTCCGGCGCGCTGCCGCCATGTTGCTGACGAGCCACGAGTGATCATACACACTCATTAAAGACCGTTAGACTGAAACGCACATCCCTTGTCAAAATTGAGTGACCAGGTGAGCTTATTATTAGCCTCTTGTCTTAACCCTACTCCTCCCCAGCTTATGTATATTGACCTCACTAGCGGTGTCAGGTCTAAAATCTATATTTGAATCTCTGCAAGGCAGAGTCTGTGTATGTGGAACGTGCCAGGCAAACTTTTGGACGCTAAAAATTATTAATCACTATTCTCTTGCAAGACGCGCCTTGGAATCTTTACCCGTTGGGATGTCAGCTCATCTGAAAGACGATACCTCCCCCACACAGCGCCCCTGAGCCCCACGCCGCCAGGGTGTTGTTCACGGCTAATGCACCAAAGCAACTTCCTGCGATCGGGATTTCCTTGCGGGTCTCCCTTCCAGCTACCAACCAATACACCCAAACACTGCTTAGCATAAGAGATCGACGGGGCTTGCAGCATGTGGGGGCTGGAGCTGCATGACAAAACTTGGCTCTGCGCTGGGGCTGGTTCCTTTGGACCTCCTAGCTCAGCAGTGATGGTTCGTTTCACCAGCCAGCTCACTGCTGGCCCAGCAGGGATAAACAATACCCAGGCACTCTCTCCCATGCACGGTTCCGAGGACAGTGGTGGTAGCATGTGTCCAATGGAGTCTAAGAAAAGATGCCCCCCTGCACCAAGTGCTGGAGCTGTCACGGTCTGCTCGAGTCTAGACACAGTGGCAATTAGGAAGGAGCAGGAGCCAGCTGCCAGCTCTCCTCTCCTGTTAAAAATAAAACGCTCAGACAGGGCCATTTGCCAGTTCCAAGCAAGTTAACATCAGTGGGAAGAAAAGGGAGCAATTACCTTTTAAAAACGGCTCTATCTGCCTGCACGTCATACACTGACGAGAGCATGGCTGACCCAGGGAAACGACACGTGATGAGCCTAGCGCCGTCCTCTTCCATAATCCTCCCGCCCAACTGGATGTCACAGATTTCAGCTGACTCACGGCGCAAATTTACTCTGTGGCATGGATTACACACTGTCAGGAGTGATTCCCCGGAACAGCAATTTAACGGGCGCCTGGGATGTAATTTTAGCAAACGAGCAGATGCCTCTATCATTTCCCCGGTTTTGACAAAAAGATAAACGTCGGGAGAGGGAGGGTGGCAGAGGAGGAGAGATGGCTCAGCACTAAATGTCAAACTCTATTATCTCTTTTTTGTGTGTGAGGAATAAATAAATTCCCCCGAGCACAGATTTTGTTTGTACTGATGGGATTTTCTGTAGTTACTGCTAGATTAGACTCCAAAGACTCCTGCATGCTGCCTCAGGATTAAATGTCAGTGGCGGCGTGTACTGAATGGAGAATAACCCACATACAGAGAGTACAGGGGAAATACCATCGCAGCCTCCCATCCAGGTTGCTCGCATTATTTACTACATTTTCCACTGAATGCATCCCATGAAGTGAGCTGTAGCTCACGAAAGCTTATGCTCTAATAAATTGTTTAGTCTCTAAGGTGCCACAAGTCCTCCTTTTATTATTTACATTGGTGTGGTCAGATGTAGTATGGCTAAGCCATGGTCTATACCATTAGGAGACACTGAGATGTTTCCACCTCAACAGCCAGCCATGTACTAACGAGATGCAGATATCCATATAGTTCTCATCTGAGACAGATAACACCTTTGCCCAGCTAGCTCACCTTGCAGAAGAAGTAAGCAGCTGCGTGACCAGCAGCTGGCTCAAACTCAACACGAGTTGCAGGACTGAGATGAAAAGGTTGCAGAATCCAGGATGGCTCCGTGTTTTGGTGACATCCATGCACTGATTGTCAGAGTCGCACTGGACTCTGTGCTACACCTGGCTACCCAAGCTGCTGCAGTAGCCAGAAATACCTTTTTCCACCTGCAGCTGCCAAGAACCCTGCCCCCTCTTTCCTACCCATAAAGATCACACCCTTTTTACTGCAAGTCTTGAGTAATGTTGTGCCCTCCACTAATGGTGGCAGACAGAGAAAATGCAGCCGGTCAAGAACAACCAGGTCAAGCAGAACAGGTAGGTGTGAAAGCAGTACACCATTTCCCACACTGGCTCCCTATTCCATGCCAGATACAGTTCATGGTTCTGGTCCCCATCTTCAAAGGTGACAGTGAGCTAGGGCCCAATTACATGTTAGGCCATCTCACTCTCTCCATCAGCCCCAGAACACTGATCACATAGGAACAATGCAGCTGTTGGTACCCAGAACAAAGCTCGATGGGGCTGAGGACAAGCTATTATTGGGGAAGAGAACCCAGCTATAGAACTGTACTGAGCCTTGGTCCTAGGACAGATGCATGCCGTCCAGTACCCTATTTCAAGGTTCTGGCTGACCACCTGAGTCAGGTGACCAAGGATCACGTGTCAGCTCAAAGGCAGCGTTTCCTGTAAGAGGGAGCCTGCTCAGTGGGAGACCCAAAGTCAGGGCCAGGTAGAAGGTTGGATAGGACACAGCTGCGGGGAATAGGGGTGCAAACCTCAACTGAGAAAGGCCAGGCAGCAAGTCCTGGGTTTCAGGACGGAACTACAGAGTGTGTGAAAATTTGGGTTCAGTTGACACTGTAGTGTTTCTCAAATACAAAAGACCCAGGAGACAGAAACTGAAATTCCGCTTTCAGGCCATGCTGGCTGGTGCACCAGCCCATGGGTCACACGCACCATTAGCCTCAAGAGATCCATTAGGCCGCAAGGCAAGAGGCATCTGTTTGCACCTGCTGTCGCTCAGTAGAGGTGGCAGCCGTAGCCACAAAAGTCCAGGCCTGATCACCACTGTGTCACTGCCGTTTTATGTTTCCATAACGCCACTGATTCAACAGCGATAGACCAAGATGGAGATGGAGAAATGTAGTGGTGAATCAGGCCCTGCGACTACAGTCCCCACTCTGAAGATGGGACAGTGAACACAGACCTAACTAGGCCCACAATGAAGCTTACCATCTCCTGTCCTGGGTGCCTAGACGTTACAATGATTGGTGGAAGTTAGCTTATGATGGGAGCAGCCACAACGTGTTATCTTTGTCAAGATGGCCTGTTTATGACCTGTTTATTAAGGGCAGCAAGTCCCAGCGTCAAGAATGATTCTACAGCAAAAGTCGGCAAAGTACCAGGGACTTCCCTCCCTCTGGCTCCCATGACTGCCTCTGGGTTGTTAGCTAGTGGTGGGGTGGTATGGCCAGGGAACGCATGCATGGAAAAGACAGAGCTCATCTGCCATAGTGTCCACATGGGGAGTAAGGCATGAAGACCACTCCTGCTCTGCTGTTCTGAGGTCTTTCCATAGGGAAGGATTCGTTCCCTCCTTCTCTGGAAAAACTGCCTAGGGAATAGCCCAGTGTCATGGCACATGGCACTTCGTTAATAGCAGTATTGGGCCTATAACACATAGCTGAACTAATCTGATTCCGTCTAGATGGCAGTGGCATGCATGCACATGCCCATGCTTTAATCAGCTCAGCAGTGCTGGATGTGAGAGCCGCAGGAAGGGACATCATCCTATGGGGCAAACTGAGAAAGGAAATTGACCTTTCCTAGCAATGGCAGGCGAGATCTAAGCTGGCAATGCAGGTGTTTGTTTCCCTTCTGTGCTCAGAGGCGATAAGTGAATGTGTTGCTGAAGCTGAGCTCAGGTGGAGGTTCAGCTTTCACAGCCTGACGCCTGACACCAGCACGGGGCGAACCGTGACGCATTCTGAGACTCACGGCAAAGATCCCCGCTCCCTCCTCATTACGCAAGGGCCAAGGCTGCCGCTGCTCAGGCCGCATGGACAGGTCCCCGTGCCTACACCTTCATCGCTCCAAAATGCAAACAGAGGGGAACTGATGACTGGTCATTACAGCTCTCTGCAGCCACTAGAGCAAACCCAAGGGTGGGCACCTCAGGGGTTTCCTCAGTATGAGAAGTGACAGCTCCCCAGTAACAGTGAAGGAATGAAACTGTCCAACGGGTCTTTTTTTGGAGGGGGGCAAGTCAGAGCATCCCGTTATTTGTCCTTCCAAATCTGCTCCTCTGTGAGCTGCACAAACAGCTGGCAGATCACGGGGGCAGTGTCACAGGTCTTCAGTGCTG